GCTGCAGTTTAAAGTAAAAAAAAAAAAAAAAACAAGCGCACACAATCAGATTGTGCATTTGCACTGACAATGTTTATCCTGTTCTTAAGCCTAACTAGACAAAAAGTTTTCTTTAACTCTTGGCGCTAATGGCTGCCAGCGGAACGATCCACTTGCTGTTGCATACTTAAAGTTTTCAACAGTTAATCACAGTTTTTCACACAGACTTGAGGGGCTGCTCATCCAATGCTCTGGGGCTTCCACCACGAACATAGAAAACAAAAGGGAACAGAGCGCCACCTCCGTGTGTAAAATCGTTTATTAGGATGAATAAAACAAGGGATAAATGTACTCACAAGCAAACGCTTTCAAACGAGACCGGAGGCTACCGTGTTGCATAGTCGGGGTGATACCATGTGGGTGACAGGATTATGCATGGTCGTCTGTGGCCTCTTGTTTGTTGCTAAAGCCCGATCAAAACGTTTGCTTGTGAGTACATTTATCCCTTATTTTATTCATCCTAATGAACGATTTTACACACGGAGGTGGCACTCTGTTCCCTTTTGTTTTCTTAAGCCTAACTAGACCTACCAATTGAATGTTCTCTCAACTCAGTTACTTTCAAGGCATGCCGACTGTCAAGGTTGCCAGTGTGCTTATTTCAGCTCTCTCTCAAACTCAAGCCCTCAGATGGCTGGTGTAATAGCTGATCACATGTGCAGCACCATGGCAACTGCAATCCAAACAGAGACTAAGATGGCACCTTCCTTCGCTCTAAAGGATAAGAGATTGTAGTTCCACTTTAGTACTCCTTAAACGCAGTCCACACACAACACTTAAACTTCCTGTTAGCACAAGTAAAAATATATTAACAAGCATTTAAAATACAGAGACAAATCGTACTGTTACTAGGGGCTTTACAAGGCCTTAGCATCTAAGGCACATTCCCAGGGTCTCCTGCAGAGTTCCTAAAGTGTGAACACAACAACTACTATGAACAAATGGCAGGACTACAAGACATGGAAGATGAAGCCCATGCATGGGGATAAGTTTGTCATGCTTTGCTATTAAGTCCATAACACTAGCGCTAGTTTTTAGCAATCCCCACCTTCAGCTTCTGAATAGTGCTTCTTCCTCAATGTCTCCTTGGTAGACTAGAACGGTGTGCTTTGTGGTGTCAGACGAATAAAGCGTGAAGGGAAATCTCCTTAAGGTAGTCACATACAGCTATAAAAACCCTAGAAAATTTTTGGTTAAAGTTGGGCTTTAACATCTAATATTAACCATGATCTATAGCTCTTTCCAAATCCAGAAGACTTTTTAAAAGATCGATAATTAACATTTTGTATTTATACAGTGCAACAATAAAAAAAAAAAAGGTTGGTCAAAATGAAATCAAACCCACAACCATTAAATTTCCAGTATTGTTTTTTAACCCACAAAACAAATCAAGTTATTTCACAGGCAAAGAACTCTTCTTTGACTAACTATTCTTTCAGCATAGTTTCAGCTCAGGAGTGATTTCATCTTCTCCTTCGCATTATTTCACTAAAGCATTTTTTGCTTTTCTATGGTTTTGTTATGTGGGGAGAAAAGCAGAAGTAACAGTATGGAGCATTGGGAAGCCAGCGTGTAAAAATATGTATAGGGGTGAGAAAGTGTCAGGTAGGGTGTCATTAATAAGTACCATGTCAATCCATTGCACATTTTGTGTTTAATTCACAATTTGAGGCAACATGTAGACTGTAGGTGACAGAGAGGTGTGTGGCTTTCAGAATAATGCTGCAAGCGTCTGGGTTATAATGATGGCAGTGGGATTATAATAATTCTGTTGGTGATTGGAACAATGATACTTGGATAAATTAAAACTCTACTGGAGGTTATTTTATTTCTAATGCTGGTGCATATAATGCCTTTGTTAGTAATGTCTTCAATTAGCCATTGGAAAAATGGCTGCTCTGGTTAAAGTCTACAAGAGAGTAGTAAACTTTCACTCTGGTGTTACTCGAGGAGTGGTTCTAAATTATCTTATGTGAGTAATATCCCTGTTCATACATCTTATGAGAAAAGTAACTTGGGAACAGCATTTTTTACCTTTCTCACTATAATCATCTACAAGAATGATTTCTTCAAGAAGTATGTCTGGAGAGGTTTCCAGTATGCTGTGAACTGTTCGCAAGAGTGTGGACCATGCTTCATTGTAAAATGCAATGATGACAGATGTTTTGGGTAACCTGTGATAGTTAAATTTCACATCTCCGCACCTGTAGATAGAAATACAGGATTATGATATTATAAATTTATTTCAATGACAGTCTCATCATAATTAAATCAAAGCCTGCCCCAAATCACCAGCTACATGTATGTTTGTAACATCCAGGTATTGTAAGCCTGGGCCTTTCAGGAACCTAGAAAGATGCCATCAATCTTGTAATAGCTGGTGTACAGTATACAATATATTACTGAAAGAATTTATAAAACATTAGCAATATTTGCTGCACCACCACCACAAAACAGTTCACTTCAGTTCACCATCAAACAGAACCAAAAAAAAAGCCTCAAAATGTCTAGGAAAAAAAATATTTTGAGTGGAGAGGCCAACATTGAACTTTATGGTCGCAGTCGTAAATGCTATTTCTGAAGATGGGCCCATGATAAGAAGCACATCACCCCTACGATGAAGCATATAAGTAGATCTCTGCTGTTCAGGGGGGGGGGGGGGGGGGGGGGAGGGGCAATTCCT